AAATGGTATCCTTCTTGTCTGCAGGGAATGATTCTTTTTTATCTTTATAGCCTGTATCTAGTACATTTTCTTATACAAAATGGCTGCTTATTAATCTTAACTGAATTGAATCATAGGCTGCTGAAATGAGGCACATTCTATCTGTGCTGGGTAAATGAAAATAGTGATAAAGTGAGAGTAGGAATGAGATGCTACCATAATTGCCACAGGAAAATTCAGTGAAAAGATTTGAAAAAAGCTTTAAAATGTTTAAAATATTATACAAGTAGCATCCAGTGATAATGGTAATAGAAATACCTGACTTTTCCAAGTAAACGTTAGTAGGTTTACAAAGTGCATGACACAAAGACTATTTCAGAGTGGTGACTGATATTGCCTGAAGTTTGCTCTTGTGTAAGAGAGGCTGCATAGTAGAATGGACAGAAAGCTGGCTTTAGAAGCAGGAAGACCTGTTCACATCATGCAACTCACATGCAGCCCTGCCTTGATGTGATGCTGAGCAAGTCAGTTAATCTTTTAGTGTTCTAGGTACCACTCTAAGCCAATAAGTTAGAGAAAAGATATGACCTTCATTGGAGAAGAGAATGTCCTTATCTGGGACTTCCCTATACAATGAAATCACAGATCCAAGTTCTATCTCCTAACCCTATGCATTTATAATATGTTTCGTGTATTCATTCTGTGATTATTCTTGATAGACACGAGCTGTTGTACCACATACTTTCGATTAATGGAAGTGTTATGAACAGATATACCCTTATGAGCTCCTGTTGAAACTAATGGGGATTAAACTTTATTACTTTTCTTCCCCAGTGATGGTATGATGCAGGCTGGTTAGATAAACTGCTCTACCCAAAGGCAGAGGAGAGATTGGGGTATGGAGATAACAGATAGAAGAGTAAGACATGAATATCTATCAGTACAGACCCTAACTCCATCTCTGTGTTTAACCTAATCTGACGCACTCATGTTTGGAGTATTAAAAGGCAACTGTTATTTGCTCAGTCCAGCTTAGAAGATTCAGCTCCCTTTGTCTGTGTAATTGTAAAACTGTATAACCTCTTATGCCTATGGGCCATCCAGAACAAGTTGGTGGTCTGGGCCAAGTCATATTAGTAATCCAAGATTCAGAAACACATTTATGAGACTATAGTTCTCACTATAGCCAAGCAGACATTCAGGATGGGAGAGAGGTGGGGGTGTACATGTCTTCTTGTACCCTTATTGTACAAGTATGTCTATTTGGCTTGTATATTACTCAGTAAATCCAGAAGTTATCTTAAAGTGGGTATGATTATGTGTTTACTCCTCAAGTTCCCAAACCTGACTACCCTGTGGTGATATACACCCAAACACTTCATCTATTAAATGAGTCTTTTCAGAGCCCAAAATAATAACTGCTCACCTGTATATGTTTAGCATCACCCATTTCAAACCAACATCAACTACAGCAAATTAAAACTAGACTTGGAGCTGAACACCTCAATTTTAAAAGAAGATGTAAAGCAGATTTGTAATTTATGGGAACACAGAACTGAAGGCCAAAATCTTGCAAAGCAACATATACACAGGCTCTTTAGCATTTTAACACAACTGGAATATAATTTGGATTGTGGATTTGGGAAGTTGTGTTTTGTCAAGCTTGCATAATCACTACAACTCTTTTATTGCCATCACAGTCTGTTCAGTTTAGAAGACTGTGCCAAATTTCCTACTTTTATTGTCTGGACTGAATTCAGGATTTTTTTTTTTTTTTAAGGCAATTGGGGTTAAGTGACTTGCCTAGGGTTACACAGCTAGTAAGTGTCAAGTGTTTGGTCTGAGGCCAGATTTGAACTCAGGTCCTCCTGACTTCAGGGCTGGTGCTCTAGCAGGAAAATATTTTGAAGTGGAGGAATTAAATCTATTTTCTCTATGAGTCTGCATCTGATTGATAAAATTTCACTGTGGCGGGTCAATTCAAGTACTGGTTCCAAACAGGACAGAAGCAGCATGTTATTAAGATGTGTTTGCTATCCACCAACTACATGCTCAGAATTATACCCTTTATTTAGTAGAACATAGGAAGGAAATACAAGATAGGACCTGATAGGTATAGTTTCTACAGGCAAGAACCTTTTTATAGATGTGAGGCTGTTTGAGTAAATGATCTAGGTGTTAGGATCCTCTTGGTAACTTAATTAAAACAACAATGACAGCAACAATAAAATTAGCTAACATTTATATAACATTGAAGTTTATAAAGAGCTTTACAATTATTACCTCATTTGAGCCTCACAACAACCCTGTGAGTTAGGTACTATAATTATCACCATTTTACAGATAAGGAAACTGAGGCCTAGAGAGGTTAAGCAGTTTGTCCAAGATCATACAGCTAATAAGTATCTGAAGAGGATTCAAAATCAGGTCTTCCTGACACCAAGTCTAGAACTCTATCTTGTTGTAGTGTCTAGCTGCTTCTATAAATGTACACAGCATGCCTTAACTAAACTCAAAAGATCACGTTTGGATCACTGGCTATAAGAATTCTATTTTCCCATTCATCAAATGGCACACACACATCTCTAAAGAAGAGAAATAATATGGCAAAAGGAAGGCAAACACATTCTATTATTTATCAAGTCTTCTGGCATGAAATAAATTTCAGTCAGGAGGAGTTTGGAGCTACCTTGAGATAACAGGTAGCAACTTCCATAGAAAAGTATACATTATCCAGATCCGGTCTGTGCCTTGGGAATAGTCAATGGCAGAGCAGGGATGCCAAAGCAATTCTATCAAACCACATTCCCCATTAGTAAGGAACATATGAAAAGGCACAGACTGTTCCACGTTATTTAATCACAAAGACAAAATGTACAGTGTGAAACCAACCAATATGCTTTACATGACCAGCCTGTTGTATAACGCTGCAGAAAGGGGGAGAGAGAATTGTGCTAAATGAGTGGCTGCTTCCAAATCAGCGACCTACTCAACTCATGTGGGAACTTACAAAGTTGATCCAAAGAGGCATCTATATGACTATAAAATAAATGCACTCCACCAGAAAAATACCAAAGACCACTAAGTGGCTGACAAAAGAAAAGCCAAAAGCAGCAGAAGGAGCCTGAGAACAGTTGAAGGCGCTCAAGGAAAGGTAAACCTGGCTACTTTGGAGAATGTTCAGTTGAAAAGCTGATAAAATAGAACAAAAATACATCATGCTACTTCTTTCTTTCTGCTTCATGTTCCCAGCCTTACACATTGCATTGGCAAGAGATTATTAGATGCTTAGCCTAAAAGATCATTTAATCTTCAAAGACTTCTTAGCTGTATTAATAATGAGGAAATAATTTCTGGACACAATTCAGTTCAATAGACTATGCCTGGTTTTTAATGCCACTTAAAATTGATAAGAACCTAATGAAAAAATATCCACTGCATGAAAAACAAAGAAAAAAACCCCAAGTAACACAATAATAGTTGCTTGGCACTCTGAATGAAATTGAAAGAACCAAAAGGGACTTTCTAATTCCTTGTTCAGTACATTTTAAGGTATTTAAAATAATTTTTACAATAATTTTAATATTAAAATTTATCTGATCTTTTATTTTGGAACTTGAACCTGTAGTTGGCTTGTGCGCCCCCCCCCCCATCAGAGTCTTCCTAAATAGTTTTGGACTCTAATGCTGTGTCTATGGAGTGTTAAGCAAGTAGGAGGGAGAGCAATGGCAGAAGAACTGTCTTCTTCAGGCACAGTGGAAACCATCATGATGCTACTTTGGGGAAGAGTCACCTTATAGGAAACCTTTGTTATATGGATTCTTATTATGTGTGATTGTTATGCTTTAGGGAATGTGAGTTAATTCAGTCTATATTCATACAAAGGTCTCTGTGAAAACAGGGATTGATTATTTTTACAGATCAGCTTCAAAACAAGTCCTATAGTATTATTTAAAATGTTAAACTTGAAATGTACTAAGTAGAAAGCAATTGATTGACCTGTCAGTAGATGCTGGCTTTGAGTTGCAGCTATTTTTCTAGCGGGGCAATAGTTTTGTGCTGAATTAGCCCACTATCCTTTCTTCAAGTGTAAATGAGAATTCCACACTTGCAAGATGGGCAGCTGGGTATGGCCTATGGCATATACATCCCACACAGTAACAAAATTACCTGGTTCTTTGGGGTGCCAAACCCATGGGTGTGGTTTAACCTTGGCCAAATTAAACTGTTGTTTATGTGAAAAGGGAGCAGATCACAGGAGCAATCTGCAAAGCACATTTACACTTACTGGGCTATAAACACCATGAGGGAAGGAGCCACATCGTATCTAAACTTTGTATCTATCCCAGTACCTAGATTAGTATTCTGCAAAGAGTAATCATATGAAAAGTGCTTGCGGCATGAAGAATAGGAAGGGACTATGGGTAGGATGGTTACTTGGAAACCAAATTTATCTATATCTATATCTACATTTATATGCATATAAATGTAGATGTATACATAAAGATATTTACAATTCACAGGAATATTATGGGGAAATTTTCTTCTAATGAAAATTGTCTCTGCGATTTCTTTCTTTGAATTCTCTGAGAGAGAATTAAAGTGATAAATAAAACATCCTTTACTTCTTCAATTGAAGCTATTCTTATTCCACCTTTAAAGGATTTGTGATGTCTTAATAAAACCATGGGCTAAAGGGATAAGTACACATGTGGGAACCACAGTGAATGAGTGAACAAATAAGAAATTCCAGTGGCCTTCTTAGAAGCAACACTAGTAGACAGGAAAAAAGACTTATTTGCTGTAATTGTTGATTTTTGAGATTGAAGCTACATTTCTCTTAATTTCCCTCAAATTACTAAAATACTGAGAACAGGCCACCAAAGAATACCTAATTCCTTATACGATGAGATCCAATATTTTAAGGGGAAAAAAACGGAAAAGAAATTCTATTAAAATAAACTTTTGGAAAGGTTAAGACTTTTAATATAAAAGGTAAGCAATTGAACAAATATACTTACTTTTGTCCCCTATGTTTTCTCCTGCAGCTTCCCCCTCTTCATCCTCCTCCTCTTCGTCCTCCTCTACCTCTGTCTGCTGTGCATCCTCTGGCTGGTCACACACGCTGATCGGTGCATTCAGGCAGCAGTGACTGAACCCGCTATCCCGGGGGAGAGTAAAACTGCGAGGCTTGCCCCCATTTCCATTCAACACCTGCATTCTCTCCCCCTCCAAGGGATATGGCCCATAGTGATCCTGCAGGTGGCATTTTTGAGTTGGAAGGGTCGACTGCCGCCTGTGCTCTGGGGAGATGACGGCTGAGTCAGAGAATACCGAGTCCTCCAGGGGGAGAGTCTGAAGGTAGTGCAATCCTGAGCTGGTCAGGGGTGTCTCGATTAAATCCTGCCAGGACCTTCGCTGACTGGCCGTCTTGCGGATGGGGGAGGCTGCACTGCTCCCAACCACTTCTTGGCGGAATTCTTCATGAGAGGACTGTGACTGAGAGGTCTCGGTAGAGGAGAGCCGACTGTGTTTGGGTTCCACGTATGGACTGGCACAGCTCATCTGTGGAAAGATTGTATTTGATCAATTTTCGTGGAAATAGTGCACACCATTCCACCATTGCGGAAAATACGTTTGGTGATCACCAGACACTAGAACTGATGTATTTAAGTGGACAAACTTGCTAGCAAGCTTAATCACCGCTAGGGTTATTCTGAAACCTCAACATTTATCTGCTTGTACTTGGCTTTCCTTTCCATATCTGTGATCCAGGACCCCAGCTTTTCTGCTGTTCCTCGAACATGGCGCTCTATTTCCTTTCTCTGTCCCTATGTTGTTGCCTTCACCTCTCTCCTGGTTTCCTTCACATCTTAGCTTAAATCTTACCTTTGCAGGTGGCCTTTCCTGGTCCCCACTTTCCCATACTACTAGGGACTTCTCTATGCCACTTAGAATGTATAAATCTCATATGTGCAATTGTTTTGTGGTGTCTCCTCTATTCGAATAAGAGCTCTGTGAGGGCAAAGACTGGGTTAAAAAGGTTCTCTTTGTATTGCTGTTAGTTAGCACAGTGCCTGGTACGTAATAAATGCTTGTTGATGACTAGCATCCAAATTGCACTGTGATTGACGTGAATAGGGAAGCATTAAAATGAAGTCATGGTAGGTTTTCATTTTTTTAAAAAATGAGAAAATATTAAATGGAAAAACTGACAGTAACAAATTACGAGGTTAAACATTTAAACTGCTTACATTAAAAGAAAAAAAGTTTGCAGATGAAATTGAAGCTAAAAATAAAAAAATATATTCTAGAGTACCTTTAAGTGGCATTTAAGGCTCACTTATAGACCCTAATCAAAATATGTATATAATTATAAAGAAAATACTATAACATTTATTAGAATCATTGACTTGGTTATCCCAAATGCCACAGATTTAAAAAAAAATTATATCAAGCCCACAAATGCTTAATCAATGCAAAACCCCCGCTTAAAAACTTTATGCAACCTGGGGAAAACAAGTCTAAAATATAACAGAATATTTTGTTCCTCTATTAGCAAGTTTCTTTTTTTTATTTTTTTACAGACCCTGTAGAAAATCTGCCATAGCCTTTTGCTTGGTGAGTCCTCACACTGAATATGTTTTCCAGGGAAAGAAAGCATTGACAGAGTTACTTCTTAATGGATGTTGTGTCTAGCATATGCTTAGATACATGCCCATTGCAGATAAATCCAATCTTTTTATTACAGGAATAAAAGATGGAAATTTACAAGTGACAGCACAGTTCCTTGGCAGGAAAATCTAACTCTAAAGTTAAGAGGTCCATGTAAACCCTCCAGTTGTTATCAAACCCTGATTTGATATGGTTGGTTACCTGCTTTAAAAGGTTTATTTTTCTAGAAGGTCAGTTTAGTAAGTTTTGCTATAATTAAGGCCAGGGCAGACTGGGTCGAGGTATTCCTGGCCCAATGGAGTTCTAAGAGTGCTTTGGGGTCCTCTGGCTAGAGTTGTGTAGAGAGGGAAGGAGATAGCACAGGACATTTTCTCCAAGCAGCAGGTATTTGCTTTCCTTCATGTTAAACTATGATATGCATCACTGGCTTCTGAAATTTTAGGTGTCATTGTATTCAGTGAGCCATTTTAACAGGGCTAGGGTTGTTTTTTTCACCCTCTTCTTTTGAAATAATAATTTGAAATACCTTGAAATAATAGTTCTTGAAATAGCATTATATTATGCAAATAGCGGAGAAATATGATTAGTTGCATCCTGCCACTTAATTCATCATTTTATAACTGACACCATTGTCATTGTGCCATCTTAGCCAACTCTAATAATTTATGAAGTGTGTTTTTATAGGAATGAGAGGAAATCAGTCCATCAAGTCAAGTCAGCAAGCACTTATTAAGTGCTTTCTATATGCCAGCTCCTTTGCTAAGCTCTGCTATAGTGTTAAGTATGTTTATTAAATCACAGTTTTCCTTCTACTTGGTAGAAGTCTCAGCTGCTCTTCTTTTTCAGCACCTCCCTTTTTAGAAAGTCTCCAGGGGTAGTGCCAAGGTTCCACTGGGTAGGCCAATGCTGCCAGGTTAATTTAATTACTGTCCTGATTTTCTCTGTAGAGGATTATATATCATTGATGGAGACAATGGATCTTTATGGCTAAATAAGCTACTGTTAGTAAACAGAAAATAACTATTAGCCAATTCATTAAATATGGTCTAGTTAGCAGTTCATTTGTTACTGTAAGTAACCTGATTGGTTCATGACGACTGTCACTACAGTGATCAAAGAAGAGGCTCTGCTAGTCATTTTAAGAGTATATAATTCACATATACTTGGAAATTTGAGCATATATCCCTTATTGATTTATATGCAAAAAGTGGTAGAAATACACGTATGATTGAAAAGAAAAAGGCCCCAGAGAATAGGCCCCAGAGAATTGCCCATGATACATATTTTCCTCCTATCAGTAGAGTGGCGGGGGATTACAGAAGCAGAATGTTGCATACACAATCAAACAAGGCTGTTTTCTCAGTCAGTTTTGCACAGCTGCTTTTTCCTTGTTATAAGAGGATTATATTGGGAAATAACCATATTTTTCTTTTGAAAAGGGAGCAGTAGGCCAAATAAGTTTGGGAACTTCTGGTCTAGAGAAAGACACGAGTAAGAATTACATACGATGAGAAACTGTGAATGGTTTATATAATCTGCAATGCTTCTCACATAGCAAGCATTTATTAATTGATTGGTTTGGGATCCCAGGTCAACTGCAGAAGTATGCCTTATTGAAAGACAATACTAATTGTATTAAACTAAGGAGCCTTAATGAGTAAGCAGTAACTAGGAGTGATCGTTCCTTGTTCATGCTTGGATATTATGAAGATTATGGTATTTGTGGTAACTATGAGTCAAGAATTCTAATAATCAAACATGCGATTTTCCTTAGTTTATGATTATAAACATATTTTGACCAAGACCTGTAAAATGATCCTTAAATGCTATTTAGAAGCACTTCAATATTCAGAGTCATGCTGTGGAGAGGAGGGAGAAATATGATAGCTGCATCCTGTCACTTAATTCATCATTTTATAACTGACACCATTGCCTGTTACTGTGTAAACTTAACCAACTCTAATAATTAATTTATGGGGAAATTTTCATAGGAATGAGAGGAAATCACCCCTCAAGTCAAATCAGCAAGCATTTATTACTTTTGTATTTTTAGTCTTCCAGGGCTTTAATTTCTTCAGGGAACAAGCAGACTGGATGATGTCTGAGGTTGCTTCTGTGTGATTCTATGTGCTTTTATGTCTAATTTCTTACGGGTAGATACATATAATGTCTGTATCGAACATATGTTGTGTCTGATTCAGGCTTCAATTTAATGTATATGTTTTGATATTATTTTGAATGCTCCCAAATCCAGGCAAGTGTTTGGTTTATTGCTTTACAGAACTTATTTGGCCTCATGATATTTGTTTCACAGTTGTGAGTACATATACATAATTCCTAAGATACATTTGGATCTTTTTTTAATGAGAATTTTTTTGAGGATAGAATCATACTGAAATACCACAAATCTACAACCAAGCGTCTGCTATTTGTTGTAGAATATCTGAATACATTAAGCCTGGACACCTCATAAAAATGTTTGAAGTGCAAAATACATGCAAACACTTGTAAGGAAAATTTTAGATTTTTTAAAAGGCATTTTTACCTTGCATATTTTCTTTTTAATCACTACCAGAAGTGTTTTTTAACTTGATATTTCCACACTTGTTAAAATCCAATGCTATCCTAGCAATTTTTCTTCGAAACATGATCCTCCTCCTAGTCATTTCTGAGTCTTCCCTCTCCTTTGCCCCCCCCCCCCATATTTGATTAGTTGCTAAATCCTATTGACTCTGGGTCTGCAACATCTTTACACTTTATCTTTTTCTCTCTATTCATACAGCCACCAACTTAACTCAAATTTTCATCACCATCATCTGGACTGTAGGAGTAGCCTGGCAAATGCATTGTATTAGTTGCTTAATGGTACATATTTTTTGCCCTCTTGGTTTTAGATCTTAACTTTCTTCTTATCTGAGGATGCTAAACTCTGATTGTGTTTTTCAGTCATCATCATCATCACCACACCACTACCACCACCACCACCACCACCATTACCACCATCATCATCATTATCTTTTGACTTGAAGAAATTCAGCTTAATGCAGCTGCTCTTATACTGAAAAGCAAATTTCTGTTGCTCACTTACTGAAGGAGGTCTTGGATATGTATCATAAGGGGGTGGGGGACTGTCTTGTTTGGGTGTCGAGGGAGTGTCTGCTTCTTCCTTGTCACTCTCACTCCAGTAATCTAAAAAATCACACACACAGACCATTAGAATATAGAAAAAAAAACCTTCCAGGTAAAATTTTCAAATATACACTCCTATCTGAATATAACAAACGGAAGGGTCATATCAAAAAGCTATTTCCTTTTGATAGAGTCAGTTCAAGGTGACTCTTTTCTCAAAGAGAGTAACTGTCTGTCCCCCTGGTTCTGGGGAGTACTGCAGAGTCCATGCTGAAGTTTATTTTAGGGTGGCCTAGGTTCCAAGCTGAGGCATTTCACATCTTGATGAATCAGGTCACCGGATATTATTTTTTCAGTTATACCATTCTACCATAAAAATGGAGTGATTACAGACGAACATGCTGCATATGCACACACATGCTGGAGATATTCATACAAAGAGCTCAAAAAAAACAATGCTGAAAATTCTTTTCACTGCCTTCAATGGACTGGTTATCTAACCAACCCTGTTTCCAGAGTCATGCTGACATCAGTCGCCATGACACCATACTCCCACCTCTATTTTGAAACACACGGCAATCACTGATACTTGCCAAATGAAAAAGGGCAAATCTGCCGGTGTGGGCTGGAAGTTCCAGACTTCCAGAATTCTGTTAAAAGGAAAGAAAATGTAAGCTGGTAGACAAAATGACTTGGCAGATCCTGCATTTTTTTTTTTTGGTGGTGGTGGGCAACCCTGAGAGATACATTAAGATTAAGCCAAAAGTAGCAAAATAGGTGCATAATTGAATGCTTCATGAATATCTCACTCCCAATCCCCACCCCCAACCAGTGGGTGAATGCACAGTGTAGGAAAATCCAGTAATTTTATCCAAACCAATGGATTTGGTGGAACAGAGGGGAGGCTAAGGTTTTCCTTCTTTCTTCCTTTTCTTTCTTCCTTTTCTTTCTTCCTTCCTTCCTTTCTTTCTTTCTTTCTTTCTTTCTTTCTTTCTTTCTTTCTTTCTTTCTTTCTTTCTTTCTTTCTTTCTTTCTTTCTTTCTTTCTTTCTTTCTTTCCCTTTCTCTCTCTCTCTCTCTCTCTCTCTCTCTCTCTCTCTCTCTCTTTCTTTCTTTCTTTCTTTCTCTCTCAGTCTCTCTCTCTTTGTATTTGCCTGATAGAACCTCAATTTCCCATTGGACAGATAATCTGCAATAACTTTTGTCCACATTAGAAATTCCACTTCTTTTACCAGATCCTCTTATTAGCTTTATTTATGCTCTGTTTAACCAAAGAACAAGAATTTATACTTAACAAAATTTTAAATCTTTGATGTTTTTCTCTACCTTACTCATATCCAGTCAGTTTTCAAGTCTTAAAAAAATTCCATCTCAGAAATATGTATGTTTGCATATGTCCCCTCATCTGTAGTCCCACTGGCCGTGATCCTAGTGCAGGCTCTTATTACCACCTTCCAGGACTATTGAAATAGCCTCCTAGCTAACTTTCCTACTTCCTCTTTGTCCTCCAATCCATCCTTCACACTGCTTCCAGACTACTCTTTTTGCATAGATTTTGTCTTGTTATTTCTTTGCTCAACAATCTTCAGTGACTCCCTATTGCCTACTAAGTACAGGTCAAAGTTCTTTGACAGTCATTCAAGGCATTGTACAATTCGATTCAATGTGACAGACATTTATCAAATGTCTAATATGTGTAAGGGAAGCTAGGTGGCACAGTGGATAGAGCATTGGACTTGGAATTAGGAAGACTCATCTTCTGAGTTCAAATCTGGCCTCAGACCCTTATTATCTGTGTGACCTCGGGAAAGTCACTTAACCGTGTGTGCCTCAGTTCCTTATCTGTAAAAAATGGCCTGGAGAAGGAAATGGCAAACTACTCTAGGATCTTTGCCAAGAAAACCCCAAAATGGGTCATAAAGAGTCAGACACAACTGAATAACAACAATAACAGCAACAACAACATGTATAATGCACTGTGCTTTGTGTTTAGGACACCGGTAAAAACCCCACCTTTAAGGAGCCTAATCTCATATCTTTCCATATTTTCCCTACAGATCAACTGGACTACCCCCTGCCCTCCAAATGCAATCTGTATTTTTCTGCCACTCCTGCTTTTTCCTATGCTTAAAATACTCTCCCTTCTCCTCTTATATGGAATTCCTAACCATCCCAGTTCAAAAGCTAAATCCTACATAAAGCTTTCTTGTTTTCTCGATGATGTCCTTCCCCTTTTGACCTCACAGAGTACTTTGTTCTATACCTCTCCAATTCCCCTAACAAGACTATAAGCTTTAGGATGGCAGACAGAGTGTGTTAACTAAACTTTCTTTTTTTTTTCTTTTCTTTTTTTTTAACTAAACTTTCTATCTCCTTCACCTAGCTCAGAGATCACACATAGTATCTGCTTGATGAGTGAGAGTTTGCTGAATGATTCAATTTGCATCAATCCCTGAAATCTAAAATGTGTGTCTTATTGTGCATCAAGATAACAAGAATATCCTAATGATGTGGACCCCGTATTAGTCTCCAATTCTCCCTCCTCATACTAAAAGTCTCTAACGAAAGTGAACAAAAATGACTTGGCATTGGAGGAATCCATTAGGCTACAGTCCTATACCAAGGTTCGGGGAGAAAGGAAGATATGTAGGACCAAAATATCTAGGCTGGGAAAAAGTTTGCCACTACTGTAACAGTTTCTCGCAAATAAAATAGAACCAAGGGTTTAGGTTTATCTAATATTTCATGTCTGGCTTCTCAGTTAGATCAACCTGCCACCGAGGCTAGTCTAAAAGCATCCCATAAAACATGAGCTAACACCAAATGGCCCATAAATGAGCCAAAAGGAATCAGCCGGCATTTATGAGGTCTTCTGTGTCTGTTCCCTGGTGGGCTGCCCAGACAGTCTGGTTTAGGCCTTACAAAAGAAATTTCTGGCAGCTGAATATTCAGGCCAACACCACTAAGGGTGAATCTTGACATGCTGCAGATAAAGTAAATTTCCAAGGGTCTGAAATTTTCATGGGGAAGTCATTTTAAGGCTTTTGCCACTTTGAACTGAAGGTCCTAGAAGCTTCCCTTTAGTTCTCCAAGGTCCAGCCAAACTAGCTTTCTTACTGCTCCTCATACACAATACTCCATCTCTCATCTTCATACTTTTTTGCAGTGGTTTTTTATTATTTGTGACAGTGCACCTTTCTCCTGTCCTCCTTTTAGAATCCTTAATTTCCATCTATAAAATCAACTCAAGTGCCACCTTATACTTAAACTCTTTCCTTATCCCTTCCCCAACTGCTAATGCTTTTCCTTCCCCAAATCCCTGTGCATCTATCTTGCATATTCCTCTGTATTTATATGTTGTCTTCTCCAATAGACTGTAAGCTCTTTGAGGACAGAAATTGTTTCATTTTTGCCTTAGTATCTTCTCTCACTAGCAGAGTGCCTGACACATGGGAGGTGTTTTCTTCTTGTTTGAGGCAGTTGGGATTAAGTGACTTCACCACGGTCAAATAGCTAGTGTCTGAGGGCCGGGTTTGAAATCAGGTTCTCCTGACTCCGGGCCTGATACTTTGCCAAGTGTGCCCCCGAGCTGCCCTGATGGTGCTTTGTTTTAGCAGTGATCCATTCTCCCACACTATCCCCAGAATCCGAAGGTAGGCCTCTTTCCAAAGTCTATGTAGCTGCTGCTGGTGTGAATTTTAGTATGTTCTGCATTTTGTAGCCTTGATTTAGTCTGAAACATCATATTGCGAGGAGGACTAAACAAAGTGATGATCACTGAAGAGAAAAGATGGGGCTCACAGAAGCACTTCTACCTGGTGCTCAGCTCAAAGGAAATGACTGGGCTGAGCCTGTAGCAGAAAGCCTCCAACATATTCCTATGTTTATGTTGTTGCTTCACAGTCAGTTCCTGTTACTGTTTCCCCTTAAAACTTCTCCTCTTCCCACAAATTTACATCTTTCCTGAAGCCAATATACACATATAAAAAAGCGGTTTCCATAATAGGGTGAACAAAAAGGCTTTCTAAATCCTTATGATACCTTTTCCATCATAGTGGGTATTTGGGCAAATATCTCTCAAAGCTCTGAGGTTTGAGGAAACTATTTCTTCCCAGCAGGACTGTACCTATCTTAGTATATTATGTGATGTCATAATTTTTTTCTTTTTTTGGGGGGGGGTCATTTTTTCATACTACCTATCTAGAGTTTCTTAAGTTTCCCAGAAAAAAGATTAAATGCCTAGAAAAAATAATTTCTTTTTCCTTACTATAAGCTCTGCACATGATGGAAGAGTCCAAGTATGATACTACAGAAAAAGTAGTCATGTTTCATACCACAACTCAATTTTTAATGGGTTATGTTAAAACTTAAGGGTTTTCAAAATTTAGACTATATTGTTTTGAGCTTTAAACTATTGTTTCATCCTACATACAAGTTAATAATTTTTTTCTTGTAGTTGACCAGAAATCTAAATAAAAACAGTGTTTTGAGATGTTCCTTGCTTGTTGTGGTATTCAAAGTATAAGATTTAATGAAGACCTATCCATGGTGAAAACTACAATAAAGAGAACAGAAAATTTCCATTCGCCTTCTGGTTTTATTACAGCAAGAAGCATTTTCCCAAAGACCATTATTTATTATTGTTATATTTAAAAACTCTAAAAAATGACAACATATTGCATTCACTTAAGAATGATGAAAACTTTATAAAAATTGTATAAGTATCTGAAAAAAGTGTTAATAAAAATGTACTTTAGATTGAAAAAGTGATTAATAAATCATTAGCTTATTGGTTATCTTGGCACATCTTTCTTTCTAGAGGACAGCAACTGATGAAGAAACTTTATTCTTTTGTGCCTTTCAGGGAAAGGAGTGAACTTCAGCAAGTCAGTGTGATACTTCTCGGATGCACTGGACATTTATGTGAAAATAAACTTTGGCAGGCTCTCTATCATGCATTTTATTAAAATTTCTGTAACTCTTAAAGGACTATTTGGTATAAAGTTTCTTCTGTCCACATTATTAAAATTCAATGCTGATTACACTGATGGTGCCACAGGAGTATTAAAAATGGGGAGCACATATATGAAAAGAGTTCTGTCTTTATAAATAACTATCCACACTTGCAGGATAGTGCAATAGAAAGAAAGCCGGATTTGGACTTAGAGAACCTGAGCTTGAATTTGATATCTGCTACTTGCTATCTGCCTGTCTTTGGTGAGGTCACTTACCCTTTCTAGGACCGAGTTTTCTTATTTACAAAATGAAGATAAAGATTACTTCCAGTTCTAAATCTCTGGTCCTGTGCTGAAGGTGGAAAATTCTGTATGTTTCTCAGCTACATTAAAATGCTTCTGTAACAACAGCCTAAGCTGAAATTTGAATTATGTCTTAAAAATTCTTATATCTGTATTTTTTAGATATCTACATATTACTATGTATCTATATATTATTGATTATCTATATATTACGGCAGCTAGGTGGCACAGTGGATAAAGAGCCAAGCCTGGAGTCAGGAACACCTGAGTTCAAATCTGGCCTTAGACACTTACTAGCTGGGTGATCCTAGGCAAGTCACTTAACCCTGGAAACTTGCCTCAGTTTCCTGATCTGTAAAATGAGCTGGAGAAGGAAATGGCAAACAATCCCAGTATCTTCACCAAGAAAATTCCAAATGGGGTCACTAAGAGTCAGACATGACTAAACAACAACACAACAAATATATATATATATATATATATTATCTATATCTGATATCTGTGTTTCTCAATTTTCAGCATGCTATAGTAGAAAGCGTATTGAATCCAGCATCAGAAGGCATCAAATTCTCTCCTTTATTAGTTGTATGACCTTAGGAAAATAACAATTCCTCTTAGCATTAGTTTCTTCATCTGTCAAACAGGGGTGATAATATTTGCAATACTTGGATGTTGTGAGAATGTAATGAAATATGGTGCTTTATAACCATAAAATGCTATAAAATGTAAACTATTATTACCATGGCTATTTATTATTATTAATTTTATTTTAATTTTAGAATAAAACAAGCATTTCCATAACCTAGTATGATAAAAAAGATTATTGTACATGAAAGTTCAGATCTACTGTATACAACTTTATATTCCTTTTAAATAGATAATGAAATTATGTAAATTTATTTTTTCCCCCTTTCTTTTCTTTCCTCCCCTCCCCTCATGGCTACCATTAGACACAAATATGTTTATAAAATATGTAAAATCATTCTACAATATTTCTATTTATCAGTTTTTAATTATTTTTATTATTATTTTAGGCATATTACAACATGCTAAACTATATACTCACATGATGAAACAAACAGCTCGAACCTATGGAGTAAGTTACTATGAAGTAAATAGTTAGCCGAACCTGTGTACACAATATACTTTGCTAATTTTCTCATTCATAAGAAATTTTGGTTATAAAATTTAAAAAAAATATATGGAGAAAATTTATTGTAATCAAGACCATGCTCAGCATAAAAGTAATGGTGAGGGACAAAATATAGAAACTAAGAGCAAGCTGTGTTGTTCATATAAATTCATTTTATGAAGCTCCATTTTCCTCTCAGTACAACATTCACATCTCTGATTCTAATCTTTTGAGTCGATGAGGCAGACTTAGGTGTGGCAATTCCAGAAGTGCTCCATACTTGTGGACCTACACCATTTCTGTCCTGGGATAGGCAACTTGGGAGTTCCCCATTCCTAGGGCTTACTATATTGTTGCCAAAATGAGTGTGGGCCAGAATTCTTGAGCTCAAGCAGTCCATGGCCTTAGCTTCAACCTCCCAAGGTTCTAGGAATACAAGAATATACCACTGCATCTGGCTAGTCAGTGGTTTTGATATAAATGTGAAAGGGAATGGCCTGTTTCCCATACCCCCTAACCCTAATTTTTGCTAATTTAAGCCAGGAGAATGATGAAATAAAATCAGTTTTAGAGTAAAGAAACAAAATTTGGACACTGGCTATGTTGAAATGTCATTTGTGGTGCCTTTGCACATATCCATTTGACAGACAGCCTCCATGTTATTTATTGGAAATAAAAATATTATTAAAATATTATATGTAGCATGTGTCATTCTATTAATACATGACATATTATTTAAGCTAAACATTTAATATTGTTTAAATATTACATATTAAGTGTATTTATGATATTAGGTATATTAAAACACTATTTATTATTAAATTTTTTTTTGAAGACCGAGTCTCCTTATGTTGCCCAGGTTGGAAGTACAAGGGGGCTTTTCAGTAGGCTGATTCTCCTCTGAGAGCTTTGATCTGCTAACCTTGGCTCTGCCCTGTCCCCATCCCAAGGGCTCATCCTCTAAATGCTGAACTTTAGTGTTGACACCTGGTCCTAGTGCATAGCCCACAGCCACTCAGAGCCCCTGAGAACTCCCAGCAGAGAGCTGGGATTATCAGCATGTGCCATCACCATCAACTAGATTATTTATGAACAGCTATTTTTGAATCTCACTCACTCTCTTTTGAATCTCACTCACCCTCTCCTCTACCAATTAGTAGCCATTACCTTCTTCAAAATCTTACTTGAAATTCTCTTTTTCTCTAATGCTTTCCCTGAATAACCTCTCTGAATTATGTGTCTATTTTATTCTGTATTCTTTTAGAATATAATTATGTAGTTCCTCCTACTGAATGCTAATTAGCACTCCTTATACGTTGTATTTTAAATTGTTCTTAGGCTATTTCATGCAAATGATAAAACTGAGTATGATCTCTTTTATGTACCTCATAACGCTCATTAAGCATTCATTTATTGACTGGTTGAGTGACCTATTTAGTGTCACAAGATCTTTGTAATTTCCAGTTTTGAGAAGGTAATATGAAATTTCAGTGGGGTTAACTATCTAACTACAGAGATCCCTGACTCCTGCCAAAGCTTCCCTAGTCATCCCAGCATCAACAAAATCATATCTATTGGAATTCTATTCTGATGCTAGAGAAACAGCAAGTACACATACCTCATCTGTCAGTCTCTTGACTTCAGGATGCCTCAAGTCATATTGGAAAATTACTTATGCTCCCACAGGCTTACTAGCAATGATATTTTGGTTAATGGTTGAAAGAACAGACTTGCCTCAAAGCTACTTTATACCACCGTTTTGTGTGTGCATGAGTGAGTGATGTGTGCCTATTTCCACAATGTAATGTCGTGCTCTGTAGTCTCAAAGCAAGCGTGACCTATAAGGTCACAGAAGGTTAAGCAGTTATGGAAAAGAGAATTATAATAATTTTGACCCACCAAGATAGCAATTTAATGGGCAAGTCTATATGTCAGGATTACAACATGTTTTGGAGGTACACTAGCCTATGCTACTATTAAATAAGCTTCTCTCTTCCTCCTTTCTCCCCTACAACCTCCCCAAACCATTAATTCTATAGACTAGTGGTAACAGACAAAATATTCACAGGGTATGAATATTTTTTCTATCACAAGCTATTTGAAGAGAAAATCATAACTGCTATTTATTCAGGAACTGCTCTGAAAATAGGACAATTCTGTCACTGAGTAGGCCTGGGAGATAACATGTAGAGAGCCTTGAATTCAACAGAAATAAGACCTGACTACTGCTTCCAATACTGGTAAGCTTTATGACCATGGGGACAAATCACTTAATGTCCCTGAACCTCAGTTTTCTTACCTGTGAATTGGGGATAATAATACCTAAACTGTAGGACCATAGACCTATAAGCCACCTAATGCAAATCAGACATTTTATGGGTAACTAGTTGGCACAGTGGACAAAGCACAGGGCCTGATGTCAGGAAGACCTGAGTTCAAATCTGGTCTCAGACAGCTGTTTGACTCTTAGTAAGCCCCTTAACTTCTATTTAACTCAGTTTCTTCATCTATAAAGTAGGAATAATAATAGTACTTACCTCCCAGGGTTATTGTGAGGAAAAAATAAAATAATATTTGTAAAGCACCTGTCATATAGAAGGTACTACATAAATATTAACTATTATTATTATTTTATAGATGAGAAACTGTGGTACAGGGAGGTTTGATTTGCTCAAGACCACATAGACAGTAAGCACCAGAGATGGCACTGAACCTTGGTCCTCTTACTCCAACCTATCATTCTTTCCACAAACCACACCGTTCCTACATAAAGAGTTGCTAGGAAGTTCAAATAAAATAATGGACTTGAAGTTCTTTGTAAACCTTAAGAAATATATGTAAATGTCAGCTATCATTATTATTTTATGCCTTCTTTAAAAAGCCTAGACCTGTGATTTGAACAGTGATGAGAACTCTCAGCATGGAAACTCCCTCTGCCAACGCAAGTCTACAACTTATTTGTAACCTACAGTCTTAGAACAGTCACAGTTCAAATGACTTGCCCACGGTCACACAGTGTGTATAGGTCAGAAGTGGGATTTAAATCCAGGCCTTTTCAACTTCAAGGTTGGCCCTTGATTCACAATGCCATACTGCTTCATTATTTTATAAATACATATACAATTACATATGTAAAATATGCAGACCCTGAAAAGTCTATGTCCTGTCCCTACCATGACAGTAGGAGGTGAGGAGAAGAAAAACACCATGAAGCTGATAGTTTCCTAATACCCAGGATATGTATCAGATTGCCTTCAACTGCCACATTCCCCAACAAAAAAAAAAATTAACGGTAAGGAGGAAAAAGGAAACAGTTTAATGAATAGTACTTTACCTTGTTCTTGCTTGATTCTCTCTCTTTCTGCATATCCAGCAGCTAGCATGTTAAGTCTATTTAGCCATCTGAAAGAATAAATTTTTTTTAAAATCAAGAATATTGCTATAACATGATAATTTCTTGTACTTGGATTATTGTAAATGAACTGAAGGAGAGACGTAAAAGATTTTTCTCTATGTAGCACGTTTTCTTTGATAGTATGATTTATCTGGTCCCCGTGGATCATCATTTTGCCACTGTACAAATTGTTCTCCTACCAAAGGTTGTGTTTCCAGTGGAAAAGTCTTTAGTGACTATGTAAAATAAAGGTTTTGAGATAATCAAAGCCCCATTAACTCTAATGTTTATAGATGTACCACCACTCCAATTATCTCAGTTGTTCTGTATGCTCAGAACTAACATTACTTTCTAAAGATTTAATCATATTTAGGCCTAATTTGGCCTGATAAGGGAAGGAAAATATTCAGAGCTCTTCAGTCAGAGGAAAAAGTTCTCTGTGTAACAAGCAAGGGACTTAATTATCTTGTTATATGTTTTGGTGAAACACATTTATATTTCATGGAATGGGGAAAAAAAGTCATCATGGGGATAAATTTGAACCTTGTCTCTAAATGCAAAGTGATTGTGGTTTTTCTATTAGTATGTATACTTGCAACCTCTGCTTAGATCCTGAAGATTTAATTTCATGAGCAAAGTAAGTTAAAAATAAACTCTTGCTATTCTTTTGTCTTGCAGGAGTACTGCCACGGTCAAATGCAGTCAGCTGCCTAGAGCAATGCAGCCTCTTTCCTCACCCTCACGAGGGCTTTCAGTATGTTCGTTATCCAAGTGCTCACAGTACATCAGCTTCTCAAATCACTAAGTCTTTAAGCCAACCTGACAACCTCCCATTGGTAAAGCTGGAATTATTTACCAAATCTATCTCCAAATCAGAAATAGAGTGGGATCTGCATTCCAACCCATTACCTGGCATCAGTATTTAGATTCTGGATGATTTTAGAGATACCATTTCAGTTAATCCCATTGTTTTTTGGAATAACGTAATCCCCCCCCAAAAAAAATACTGGCAGAGTTAACTGCATCCAAAAGTTTCTTTTTTTATTTGTGCCACATAAAGAGATAGAAACTTATCTTTCTTGACAAGTGGAAGATGACATCCTTTGAAGCTATCTCCATATTTCAACTTTTATGCCGGGAGGTGGCAACATGGATTCAGATGGTTATAATGTCATGAAAGAAGTTGTAGAGTTCTATCCTTGGAAAATAAAACTATCTAGAAAGCACTGTTAACCCTTTGTTTTAAGAGCAGTAGTCATTTATGTCTGATATTATTTTGAAAGAACAGGAAATTTAAAAATAAACTGTATAGTCAATGAGGATTTATTAAGCACTTACTGTATGCCAGGCATTGCAGTAATCAAAGGCCCCTCAAACACCAAAACCAAAAAAAAAATGTGTAAGAATATTACATCACCCAATTTTGGGGAAGTAATGCAGAGAATGAAAAGGATACAATAAAGGATGATCAAATTCAGTGACATAATACCAAAATTTGAAAAATAAAACACATTGACACATGAAAAATTCTGAACCACAAATCAACAAGATATGCAAACTAAACCTTTTAAAATCATCATTTGAAGGTTGAAACTGACAACTAATCTCCTGACGAGTTATAGGAAATATACTTGCAGTAAAACTGCCATGAAACATGACTTATGAGGCAAATAATTTGTCTACATCTTCTGGAGAATAGCTGCCTATTCTGGAGAATAGGGCTTTATGGATAAAAGGACACTCAAGCTAATACCACTAGAGATTTTTATCCCACCTTCTTCACACTTCTCTACTTGATACACAATTCTGCAAGGAAATTCCATTTTATGAGCATTATAAAAACAATGAGTTCCTTTAGAGATCAAAGAATTTCAAAAGGTCTTAGTTTTTTTTTTTCTATGAGAATCACTGAACATGTAAAACTAAAAGATCTCTTTAAAACTTCTTGAGTGGCCTACCAAGGAATTCATTATTTTTACACTACCCATAAGATGGAATTTTTCTCAATAGTAATGCACAGTTTCTCTGCTCATGGAAAAAAACCTCTTAGAAAACACATGAATGGAATTGCCACCTAAGTGTTAGCTAGAAGAAGTCCATTGTGCACCCTTGCTGCAATTAAGAGAACTGTGTAGATAATTGTGAATTTCTCTATGCAGATGATTTCCAAATCTATATGGCTAGTCCTAGCCTCTTTCTTGAGCTATAATCATATCATTACTTGCACTTTACACATTTCTAACTGGATATCCTCTAGGCATTTCAAATTTAACATGCTGAAAAGAGAAATTATTGTCTTTCCCTCCAAAGTCTCCCTTCTTCCAAACTTCCCTATTACTGTTGAAGGCACCACCACCCAGCCACCAAGGATTAAAATCTTGGTGTATGGGGAAGCTAGGTGGCACAGTGGATAGAGCATCAGCCCTGGAGTCAAGAGGACCTGAGTTCAAATAAGGCCCCAGACACATAACACTCACTAGCTGTGTGACTCTGCATAAGTCACTTAACTCAAATTGTTTCAACCCCCCCCCCAAATCTTAGTGTCATCCTCTACTTTGTATAGATACCCTCATTCCATATATCTAATCTGTTACCTAATCTTGCTGTTTCTACCTTCACGACATCTCTCCTATACGTTCTCTCTTCTCCACTTACACAGTCATAGCCCAAGTTCTGGACCTCACCACCCATTGCCTTTACCATTTATTACAATAGCCTTTTAAATAGTCTCTGTGCCTCATGTCTTCTCCTAATCCAAACCATCTACCACTCATCTGCCGATGTGATTTTCCTAATGCATAGTTCTGACCATGTTATTCCACTATTCACCTCCTGTGGGGTCCTATGATCTCCAGGATCAAATACAGATAGACTCCCATCTTTTGCATTTAAAACTCTTTATAACTTTGCCCCTTCCTGTCACTCCAGTCCTTCACAAACTCTTTGACCCAGTTCTGCTGGTATACTTGTGATGCCTTAAGGACAACAGTCCATTTTCTGGCTTTATGCCCTTACTTTGGCTGCTCTTGGAATGATCTACCCATGTCTACCTCTTAGTTTCTCTGGTTTTCTTAAAAATTCAGCTCAAATCCAACTTCTGCAGAAGGACTTTCCTCATACTTCCAGCTGGTAGTGTCAGATTACCTTCCATTTTACTTCTGCATATATTTCATATATATATCTACTTATTTTAACATTATCTCTCCTCTCCCCACCCATTAGAACATGAGCTTCATGAGGACAGGGACTGTTTTTGCCCTTCTTTGTATTCTCAGCATTTAACTTAGTGTCTGGCACATAGGAAGTACTTAATAAATGCCCATTGAGTAGTTGACACATTATATGAAGATGGGATCTTTTACAAGGATGCAGATATAGGAAAGTCTTTAAAAGAAGGATTTATCTTTCATGACCAAAGCATTTTCAAACAAGAACTACCTAGGAAGGGGAGAGCTTGGCTATGTGCTTTTAGGATGAATAAACCATTTTTATATGTGGTATGGGATAATAAAATCATAATTTCATTAAAAAGCAAATAAGAAAACACCTAAGAAAATTCCAAAAAACATTCATCTAAAGGAGCGTTCAATGTTACTATGATATACTTGCTGAAAAGATTTTGTTATATATGAAAATGTAGGTATGTGCCTATAACTCATATGCATATACTCACACCAACAATTTGTTATGTAAAAAGTAAAGAAACCTACCTGTCAGAGGAAAGCACATTCCCATCAGTACTTTCTTGCTATTTGTACCTCTTGTCTCACCTAAAATAACAAGTGGTGCTAAAAGGCTTCCCTAATGAAAGTAGTTGTCAGAGATATGAGCCTGAACAAAAGGAGAAACGCGACTGAACTATAATTAAAAAGAAAAGACTTGGTATTCTAGTCGATGTAGCTCTTGAAATTATGTTGCTTCATTTCTGAGCTGACATTAAAAATACTCTTAAAGGTTTAAGGTGTGCAGGAGTTATTTTCATATAGGATAGTTTTTCATAGACCAATTTCTTGGGAAAAAATGAAAATAAAAAAGGGTGGTTGATTTTAGCATCTCACCAAACAGATACAACTGAAAATATCAGGATTTATGTCTGGAAACCTCTCTTCCCAGAGAAGTCAGCATATTTTTTTAGCTATTGAGAAGAAGAGGGCCATGGGGAGGAGGTAGGCTTTTATGAATAAGTGACAAATACTTTTTTTTTTGGAAAAAAGCATAAAATTAATGTCATTTTAAAGATAAAAAATCAGATTAGGATGAGTCACAGACCAGGAAGTCATTCTTTATCTTTCTAAGATGCTGGTGATTCCTTTGAACTGGTCCACGACTGTACACAATTCCTTTTACTAGTGGTGCATATGTTTTCTTCCCTCTGTGCACAAAGCCAGCCTTCACAGTATGTGACTTTATGAGGAAAGAGTTACTCATGGATATTGCTCACTCGATTTTCAGTTTGTTCATGACATGAACCCTTCACATCTATCCTGAAGCAAGTGAGCTCAATGTGTGGGCAATGCTTTGTGAGCAACCAGCTCAATGGTGCCTGGCATAACAATTAAAACCCAAAGTAACAGCAAGACTCTAACCAGTACAAATTAATCAATATTTCCATTTTGTAGAGAAGCTTAAATTGGGAGTGCAAAAAACTGACTAGTTTTTCAAATAGTAACAACAGTGACATTTTCATGAACAAGTCATATAAATCAAGAGAAGATGATGGAGATCACATAAAAAGCTCAGCTTTCTCATTAATAGTAAGTCTTTTTTTTATCAAGTTTTATGCACCATCTGGTTCCATATCTGCCTCCCCCTCTTTTACAACATCCCTCTCCTACCATTAGGAGGAAAAAAGCCCAGGAACTCAATTTCAGCTAGAAGCATTAGGGCTTTTTATTTAATCTCCTTTGTTTTATCTTTGGAAGTGCACAATTATCTATGTATTTTTAAAGTCTGGGTACTTATTCATTATGGATAGAGAAATGATGGCAAAAGGTGTTATGAATAATATAAGGTGACAGTAAACCTTGGATCTAAAATAATATGGATAAAATCTCTTTCTCTCTCTCTCTCTCTCTCTTTCTCTGTATTTTGGTCCACATTTATGTAGGTACATTTATTTATAGGAGTGGTAAACCTGTGTCAATTAATGGGGAATTTTGTCAGATTTAGCTAAACATTCAACCTCTTTTCAACATTATTCAAGAGAAAGAGAGAGAAGAGGAGTATTTGAGAAGTGAAGGGAGACAAATAGGCCAAATCCATCACATTATTGTATTCATCCATCTAGGGAACTGCTTAGCTTCTGGGGACGATTTTCCTACGAATTATCTAATTGTTGGATATGGCCAAGTTTTCCTTGATTCATCAGATCCTCATTATTTAATTCAACTTAACAAGTATTTGTTACAAACTCAATTTGTTCCAGTCATTGGCAGTGCAAAGAAAATGAAGTACAAAATATACAGAAAGTAATTTTCAGGGGGAGAGCACTAATCACTGGGGGAAAGAAGAGTATGAGTTAGAGATCAGTATAATTTTCCTGTGGTGCTTGAGATCAACTTTGAAGGAAACTAGGATTCCAAGAGACAAAAGTGAGGAAGAAGGGCTTCAAAGGCACGAGGAATAATGAGTACAAAAATATGGAGGTGGAAAATGAAAAAAGAATAGTGATCCAGACATTTTGACTGGAATGCTGAGTTCATGAAGGGGTATACTGTCCAATAAGCTAGAATGACAGGCTTATCCCAGATTGTGAAATATTTTAAAAGCTATATGCAAAAGTATGTATTTAATCTTGGAGGGAAGAGAGATTCACTGGAGTTGATCTTGAGTAAGGGAGTGACATGGTTAGATGTGTGCTTTAGGATTATTGATTTTGTTGCTATGTGAAATTAGGGAGAGAGAGAGAGAGAGAGAGAGAGAGAGAGAGAGAGAGAGAGAGAGAGAGAGAGAGAGAGAGAGAGAGAGAGAATACTGGGGACAAAGCGACTGCAGCAATTGTCTTAACTTTTTTTTTTTTAAATTGGCCATTTGGAGGTGGTTAGCAATAGAAAGAAAGGGAAATAGCAGCTTCCTTACATATTCAACATCTGAGATGACTGCCACTTCCTTTCAGCTATTGAGAATTCCAGGCATATCTATCTAGATACCCATATCTAGATATACATACATCTATCCATCTATAAAATGTATATATGTATATATAACTATACTATAGTATATATTATATACAATGCTATATATGCTATGTATATGCTATATATGTGTGTATATATATATATATATATGACATACACATATGTGTGTGTACCTCTACTTTTCCAACTCGTCAGTTTCAATCAAAAAAGCTCTGCTTTTTAAAATGCTTATGTTTAGATTAATATTCATTTGGATAACTAACCAATTAACTGAATACCTGGTGAGTGATCATGACTGTTTGACACTAAAGAAAAAGTCACAGCTTAAAATTAGATGTTACAATGGTCTTGTGCAACAATGATTGGGTTCACTTAAGGGGAAAAACCCAAACACCGATTAAACAAATCTTTCTAGATCTTAGATATATTACTAGTATTGAATATACATAAGTATTATTGTAAAATCATTACAACTATACAGGATATCCTCAAAATATATGATTGGCTTTTTATAGTTTGTAAAGTTTGGTTTGTTGTTTTTACCTGTTCATATCATCCAGATGTTCAGCAGCAAAGTAAAAACTTTTGATTTTAGGATGACAAGCTTTGAATGCACTGTAAAAAAGGAATAGAATATAAAAGTAGGTAAAGTAATAAGTATTTTATTTCCAGGCACAAAACAGTTAAACACTCTATTGCTATTCATTAACATACCTTAAGACTGCTTTTGTGTCCATATGAATAGTGGTTGTACCATTATGATAGAAAAGTCAGTTTAAAAAAAAAGTCTTTCAGGAAATCAGCTTAGTCATTAAATTTTATCAACCACCTAAGTGGAAGGAGTGGGTGTAAATGCAAATAGGATCCTATACCAATACATGAAAGAGTTGTTATTTCACCAGAACGTGGGAACTCCTGGTGTGTTCCTTTGTTCCATCAACACAGATTGGAGACAAATATGAATCATTTGGTAAGCTCCCAAAAGCTGCTTAAGATTCTGATCAATTATATGATTTACCCAGTATCACAAACAAATATCAGAGAAGATATTTGAACCCAGGTCTTCTTGACTCCAAGTTTAGCACTCTATGCACTATTTTCAGTTACCTTAAGCAGTTTGCACATTGAGAGATACATGCAGGCATTTTCAAAATAGCTTTTGTGTAATTGCTGATCTCTGGATCCATGTATTAATTGAAAGTTCTATTCAGACATCTGTTCTGTAAGCCATGAAGGCCTCAATAATGAAAAAAAAAATCTAGATCAAATAAAGAGCAACTCTGCACATTTAGCTAAACCTTAAAATTGTTTCTATACCATATAAGTGAAGAGAAGGAAAAAAAAAAGAGGTGTTGAGGACTGTGGAAAAAGAACAGAACAGAAAGGCAAATAGTCCGACCAATCCGAGAAATTTTTGTTCAATTTTAGGATTCTTGTGAAGGATAACGCCGTGGAAACAAAGCAAAGGGAGTGAAAGACTTGACCAAGCCAGTGTCTCCAGCAGGCAAGGGGTCATGTGGCAGCACAGATTACTTTAGTGGAATAGTTATGATTATTCTCACTTTATCTAAGTGGAAACTAAGAAAAACTAAGTGATTTATCTCATGAGGCACACAGGAGTCAATGCCGGAGGTAAGACCCGGGTGTCCCTGCTCTCCTGATATCATCTGATCATAAAAACTAATGCTTTTTTTTGGTTTGGTTTTGTTTTTTAGACAATTGGGGTTAAGTGACTTGCTCAGGGTCACACAGCTAGTAAGTGTCAAGTGTTTGGTCTGAGGCCGGATTTTAACTCGGGTCCTCCTGATTTCAGGACCGGTGCTCCATCCACTGCACCACTTAGCTGCCCCAAAACTAATGCTTTTGTATAGGTATACATTATATGCAAACTGCCCACGTGAAAAGGAAAATTTTCATCTCCAAGTTAGAAAGAAAAATGACAGTGCCACATGGAAGGAAGTCTTAAAAAAAGGACAAAATTATCCATCTATATTATTTCTCTGATTGGACCACACATATTATATTGCTCAGTCTAACCTAGTTTTAGGGCAGTGGGGTGGTACAATGGATAGAGTACCAGGCCTGAAGTCAGAAAGACTTGTCTTCCCTAGTTCAAATCTGGCCTAACACATTTATTTGCTGTGTGACTCTGGGAAAGTCACTTAAGCCTGTTTGCCTCAGTTTCCTCATGTGTAAAATGAGTTGGAGAAGGAAATGGCAAACCTCTTCAGTACCTTTGCCAAGAAAAACCCCAAATGGGATCACAAAGAGTTGGACATGACTAAAAAGAGCTGAACGCCAAGAACAACAGCAGCCTATGATTGAGAGTACAAGTCTGCGGGTTTCTATGATCAAGACACCAATCTGGAAGTAAAGACAAATAAAAACCACACTTAACTATTTCTTGCGACATTCACTGGCTCTATCAATTTTAAATTCAGGCAAACTGATGAATCCTTCTGCTTTTTCATCCTAAAGAATAAAAAGAGTCCTTTTCAGTACATCATCTACAGAAGATTGACAATTAAATCATCTAATTCATTCCCAATGATGTATCAAAGTGACTTTTCATTTTATTCCCTTAAATCAGAGCCAAGACTGATATTTTAGAAATGACAATTGTGGCTTCTCCTTTTGAACTCTCTGTAATTTCATGTCATCTTGGAATAATACTATTTTCCATCATCTTCTGAGTAACTTTTTGATGACAAAGGAAACAATTGAAAAGAAAATATATCATTAAAAAAACTTCATTATTATGAAATTAGAACTTGTTACCTTCAGAGGTGAAACAAAAAATTCAAATAAGCATTTTTCATTCCAGTATGGTAATTCAATATTAATAGCCATTTAAAATTATTTAGCTTAGTACAACTTAAGGCCCAAATTTTCACCATTTCAGAACTGATGCAAGCTGAATGTTTTTCTTTAATTTACTTATGAACATTTAGATGTTTTAAAATGTAGAAAAATTCCCAAACAACTTCAATTTTCAGTTTTTCATTTCAACAATATGTAATAGTACAAATATATAATATTCAAAAAAATGAAGATAAAGAACTCCTTAAGGAGACACTATGCTAGATTCTGCTCCCCCAAAATGCAATCAACAAACATGAACCATATTTTGTTAAATATACAAAACCACTATTCTGCTTATTCCAGAATACCTGTCTGTATTAATAGAGATCAATTAGTTCTTTGACTGTCTGGATTGGGATACATGGTATGTAACTAAAATTGCTTTTTAACAACATTCCACATGTAAAATATCTTTTAATAATGCCTTTTAAAAACTAACAAATGCTTCTTTTTCTCCTGAAATATAAGGAATTATGGTAAGTGAATTGTGCAATATCTAAATTTAGATAAAAACTTCATAACTGTTGTTTTTGTTTATGCCACTTGGGATTATCATGATCTTCTTCCTGAAATTTTCTTCAACTTTTTTTGGGGGGGAGTCCTGTTGCATGTCTTTTGACCACTCAGATTAAAATGAGATTATACTTTTCCTAAACATTCTCATTCTAATTTTGGTTATGGACTCGTACCACCTCAAAAGGAGCCAGATTTTCTATTCTCTATTTTCTCTTCTCTTTTCTCTTTTCTAATCTCTGAATGATTTCTAAGATCTCCTCTGGCTCTCGAATCTACGTTATTCTTTGCAACAAAAATTGATTCTGCTGACAATAATTGCTCTGTGGGAGTATGCAATTGAAAAGGGCAATGTGAGAACATTGGCCCAAACATTTTGGTCAAAATATTCTTAATTCTTCACAATATTTATTTTCTTCAATGTTACTCATTTGGGGAACAAATGAATGGTTCCTTTCCCAAATATGAGGACATTTTAATTCTATGGCCTATCCAACTTGATGCTTTCATTTTAAATTCATATAGCAATGCATATAGTAGATTTTTACTGAATGGTTTTTGAATGAATGAATGAAAATTTGAGCATTATCTGCCACCTAATTTACTGTGACATTTTTCCTATTTGTTGCTCAGTTGTTTCTGACTTTCTGTGACTCCACTTCGAGTTTTCTTGGTAAAGATACTAGCATAGTTTGCCATTTCCTTCTCCAGTCAACTTTAAAGATGAGGAAACTGTGGCAAATAAAGTTAAGTGATTTTCCCGGGGTTATACAACTTGAGAGTCTGAAACTAGATTTGAACTCAGGTCCTCGTGATTCCAGGACTGGTGCTCTATCCACTGCTCCACCTGGCTGCCCTTTTTCTCCTATAACGATATGTTAATGGGTATTATAATTTTCGGTTTGTATAGTGTTCTACATTTGTTGTTTTGTTTTATCCTCACAACAATCCTATGGATTCGGTGCTATTATTAGTTCCATTTTACCTATGAGGAAATTAAGGTTAAGAGATTAAGTCACTTTGTCCAGGGTTTCACACAGGTTGCAAGTATCTGAAGTGAGACTCAAACTCAGGTCTTCCTGACCCTAAGTTTTACATTTTTATTTATTAGGCGATGCTAGGGTACTGATTATAGGGCACTGGACTTGCAGTTAGAGCCTGAATTTGAATTTTGCCTCACATGCCTTCTAGCTGTGTGACTGGGCAGTCACTTAACCTCTTAGGGATGTTGTCAAGGTCAAAAGAGATAATATATAGCAAGCATCTTGCATACTTTAAAGCACTACATAAATACTATTACTATTCTTATCTTTGTTGTTATTTCCAAACAAAAAGAACTATTAGGAGTTAGTATGGCTTGGAATATAAATTTGACTTACTCATTTACGTCCCAAGCTCATTTTGAAGAGCTGTTAATTCACCACTGATAATATAACTAACCAATTATAACCTTTAGAAACTGGTAGATAAGAATGTTTACAGTTATATGATGTTAACATTAAGAAAGATGATATATAATTTAGAAGCCAGTAGATTTATTGATAAGTTGCCTAACAGCAAATTAAAACATAGACACACCATTTCTTCCAGATCATCTCAATGAAGAAAAAATTATGGCTAATTTATAGCTAAAAACAAAGTACATCATTTACTGAAATTAAGGTTCTCGTGTAGTGGTCGAGGATAGTGTATTTGCTGCATAGAAATGCAATACAAATAATCAAAAGTAGATAACAAAGGAAAATGTGTGATGAATAGCAAAACAAAAATAATAGGAATAACTTCTGTGACTACACAAATAGAGATGGCACAAAAATCTATCAACTGCCCATCATTTGTTGAGCATTGTCCTACAAGTAGTGGAGCTACAAAGCTTTGATGAACCATGGTCCCTAAATTTAACAGAATAGAATGTAAGCTCCTTAGGACCAGGGACCATCTCATTTTTATATTTGTATCCTCAGTGACTTACACAGGCCCTGGAACATTGTAGATAGTATGTTTAATAAATATTTCTGGATTGAATGATTGAAGGACCTTAGCAAGTAGGCTGGACACTAACACAGGTAGCTACTATATATATAGCACTTATTTGATATGTGGGATTAGATATTAACAAGACAGTGTTATAATTCAGTTTGACAGGGAAGGTCATTATTGATATTAATTGGGAGAGCTTCTAGGACAAGGAAAAATTATTTGGGCTTTGAAGAATGTTGAGAAATTCAACAGGCAAAGAGGGGGAGGATGTAGGAAATAGTCCAAACAAAGGGGATGGAGTGGTAAGAACACAGTTGTGCTTGGGGTGCTAAGAATTGTCCAGTTTAGTTGGTATATATAGTAATATTTATTGCTGTTGTTCACTCATTTTTTCCCAATCATTTCCTACTCTTCATGACCCTCTTTGGGTTTTTCTTGGTAAAGATACTGGAGTGGTTTTCCATTTCCTTCTCCAGCTCATTTTACAGATGAGGAAGTTGAGGCAAACAGAGTTAGGCAACTTCCCCATGGTCACACAGTTAGTAAGTGTCTCAGGCCAGATTTTAACTCAGGAAGATGAATCTTCCTGACTCTAGGACCAACGTTCTATCCACTGTACCACATAACTGCCCCAATATTTATTACATGATGCAACTATAAAATGATCACATTGTTAAATTATAAGCTGATAATTAGCTCTCAGTCATGATCTAGTCAATGGATTAACAATATTGCAATAATTAAAATTATTGTCATTGATATAAAAACCTAAGGATTTTTAGAAGGTAATGACCACAAGAGCCATAACAATTGACCTAGCCAAGGTTACAAACATTTTACTATTTGGTAAAACAAATAATGCAAATGGAATTCATTGATGTAATTATTTCACTTAGGAGAAATGTCACCTAAAATTATAAACAAGTATATGGCCGTGGCAGAAGAGTAAAGGCCAATGTAGAGACTGAGAAACACCTAAAGAAAGACAGTCCTCATCCTGGCTAGTGGAGCAGTTTCATGAGAATGTAGCATACCATACTTTGGTGTAATTCCAGAAGGTGGCATTTGTAAATCTGTGGCTAGAAGGACATTTTTATCCCAGCAAAACGTTAATACCAAGTATGAAGCTAGTAAAGACTGTATTGTTAAAATGCATACCTAAGCTACAAAATTAAAAAAAAAATGATACAGATCCCTTCCAAATTTGCCTTTACATCCCTGGCATCTAGGAGAGTGCCTGGCATAATACATGCTTGCCAATTGACTATTGATGACCCCAACATTAAGATTCTATGATTGTAAAATTTTGTGTTTGTTCCCTTCCTCTCAGTCAAGCAGAATATTAGACCAATCAAATACAGCTTCTTATAGATTTCCAATAGCAGCTTTTCTGATGCAATAAAATGAATCCAAGGGATCGACATATTTAAAATTCCAAATAAAAATTCCAAAAAGAAAGCAAACAAGACCTTGAGCAAAGGCAAACAATTTTAATATGGTCTCTTATTTCCATGAATAATAATCCTTTCAGTCAGGTTTCTGCTTGAGTTAGCTTGATATTTTTAGTTATATTTAGAGAATGTGTGACTATGTTTCATTGTACTCAAGGAGATTTAGTTGATGTATTAAAATAATTTAAGCAAATATCATCTTAGAACCCACAAAAATGCCTAGTTAAAGAGTGTAGATGGAAAGATGGTTAACATTAGTCTTATGAAATGGTCTTCATGTGATTATATGCTTTAAATTATATTGTATGTTTTTAACATTTTCTTAAGACCACTAAACACACTAGAAAACAAAATGTGTTTATAGCTTACCTCTTCATTAATATACCAATACAGGGATGTGTCCTTTAAAACAAACCAATATTTCTTCCATTTCTGTGAAAAATAGCTTTTGGCATCTTTCTTTTTCCAAAGCCAGCCCTCACAGTCACCACGGCCAAGGTCTTTACAAGAAATTCGTCGTTTGCTCTTGCCTGCAATTGGACCTAAAGACACCAATGGATGAAACTACTTTTAAAAATTGTTCATTATGAAACTGTGAGAGAAATCTACAGATCACAAAAAGATCCAGCAGGACAAATGAATGCCCTTAGTTGGATATTTTTTGTTTATACTTAAGCCACGCACCTATGAATACCTTTCAGTTCTCTTTCATCACTAATGGAATCATAGTTTGGTAAGGAATTTGCTATCCCATCTATGCTCTGGGTTATGAAACCATGAATTCTGATGAAAGCAACAGGCATTCCAGAACCTAGGACAGCACCTTAATAATAAATGCTTCCCCCCCCACTGATGGCTGTGTTAACTAGAGTCATAGGATCATAATTTAAGAGCTGAAAGGGACTTTAGAGGGCATCTAGCTTAACATCCTCATTTTACACATGGAGAAACTGAGCCAGAAAAGTCACACACGTGGCAGAGGTGGTTCTGAGCTTAGGTCCTGTTTTTCCAAATCATTCTATTCCTTAAATATAAGAGAACAGAATTTAAAAGAAAACCTCTGACTAAGTTAGAAAGACTAATTCTTTATACGATGACAGCATTTAAATTCTACCACAGTAGAATTGGGAGACAGTAGCACATAAAAGGACCTGGCATGCTATAGTCCACGGGGTCATGAAGAGTCAGACATGACTAAATAACTGAATGACAACAACCATAGCATCGTAATTATAATACTCAGTACTGAGAGCCATGTGCAATGTAGGTACTCAGTAGATACTGAGAGTGAGGATTTATGTGTAATTTTCATTTCTTACCTTTGTTTTTCTTCTTTGATTTATGTTGTAGAGATGACTGCTGAAATGTCTAGAATCAAAGACATGAAAGAATGGTGAACACAGAATTAGTGGACAGTGTTCTGCACTCCAGGATTGTTCTACTTAACAAGGATATTTAAATCTACTAAACCTTGTACTTCCCCACCAAAGGCTTCCAAAATACGGTTGCCCATAGTGTCTGGCTTTCTTCTTCAGTTTTCTAGGAAGACAAGGCAGTAGCAAGGTGGCCTATTACACAGAGTGTCTGGAGCCCCAGGTTCATGTCTTGCCTCTGTCATTCATTATGGACATCTCATTTCACATTTCTAAGCCTCAACTGGTTTATCACAAAAAATAGCATAATACCACTTGCAATAACTACCTCACAGGGTTTTTGTGAGGTGAGATCTTTGGAAATCTTTAGTATGCTAGAGACACACAAATTATTATCAGGAGAGATAGGCTAAATTTTTCTCCTTTTTATAGTTAAATTGATACTAAAAATTGCAGATAGAGCTGACTAGACCAATGAGAGTATAAGTAAATGGAAACAAATCCAAGTGATCCAGGTATTTAGCATGTAAGGGACTTGTCCTGGATCACACAGCTGGTATGTGTCAGAGGTAGGCCTTAAAGCCAGGGTTCCTGGTTTCCAGGATATTAATCTATCCACTACGCTGTGGTGTTTTGTTTATTTTTTTTTTCAAAGTGAGCAATCCCAAAAAAAGCCAAATCCACTTATTAATAGAAAGGTGGGTACAACTTGGGCTCTTTATTAGTCCTCAGAAGGTTTTGAACTTAAAGAGTGGTCAACTCAAGTCCTTTTTGCCTAGACTGTAGGTCTGCATATAGTACTGATCTCTTCCTGTGCTATTTGGACAACAGACAACATTGAACAGGACAACCTTCCTCTGTGAGAACTCACTATATGGCCAAGTGGACTTACAAAACAGATAAATCAGAGCACAATAATTCTAATTGCCAAAAAATTATTTAATGCACAAGAAGATTTGGGTAAATTTCCTTTAAGTAGCAAATCTTCCAGTTGCCTTTAAAATTATCCCATTGACAAGGAGTGTGTGTAAAAGAGAATATAAAAAAAGCTTTCCAGAAACACAGTGACAGTTTTCTTGGCCTTCCAGGGTATTCTTTGTAGCAAACCACTGGCCTCATTTCTTTTGTCCCCCTTTACTGACTCATGAGGAACTGTCAGACTTCAAAAATTGATGTAATCTAATGGTAGGTCTTTGTAGTTATTGTGAAATTACTCATAAAAAGGAATATATTTTATTTTATTTTTCAATCTAGGGCTTACAAAACAAGCTATTAAAATTGTTATCCATTTGAAACACAATTCCTTTTCCCAATGAAAGCAGCAGCATGTAAGAAAGCTGCCTTTTCACAATTCTCAACTAAAACAAGCTATTCAGGCTCTCAGTTTCTATGGCAATGCACACCTCTCCTCATTTTAAGGGATTTTCAGATGACAGGGAGCTCAGTCAATGCTGTGTCCTAAAGACTAAAGTTATGCCACCTTTTTGGCAAATTGAGAAACAATGAAGAAGGTGTAAGTCATATTTTTCTTGGAAAGTTTGGCAAATATCTTTCAAACTGAATGTTGTTTCTCCATTTTGCATAATGACAGAAAAGTTACCAACCAAAAAGCTTAAATCTAGTTAACATAACCTAATATAACCTTAATATTGAAAATCAGAAGTGGACATGTTTTACTTTAAAATTTATCCCCAAACTGAATAATTTTTTTAAAGACCTAACTCATGAAATCTAATTACTGTGCTATCCTGTAACATGTCTGATAAGACCACAGATGGAACATTGATTCATTGGTTGGATTCAGCGGATGCTCTCATGTTCTGCTTATCCATGTCATGAAGGCCAGACACAGCACAAAAGATTTCAATTCATAGGTATATCAAAAAAGATACTTCTATCTCCTTCAAATGTTTTAGTGTCAAATAAAGATATATCTCTAATATACAATTAGACTTGTTTAGTCTCAGTGGTTTGACACAGTCCATCAATTTGTTAATTAATTGGTTTGAATAATTCCTCTTCTTACCCCTATGAAAATGGTTAATTCTTTTGCATTATGTAGACACAGTCTAGGCCTGATCTTTTATTTTTACTCTCTGGTCTAGCTTATCTTCTGATGTGGGTCTTCAAAAGAAACAACATAATTAGAAAATGGCAGGAGAATAGAAGATGAAAAGAGTTGGCAAAGAATATAAACTGAAGAATCATCAAAAAAGTTCTGCACACATGTTCATTATCTCATTGCAATGACTTTTTTTTTTGTTTTGGATTTAAATTTTAATTTTAGGAAAAGATTTTGGTTTTCTGTGGCTTGCTTTTTTTTTCACCTCTCTCTTTTCTAATTCTTGAATTCATTTCTGGAAAGTTAAAATTGAAACTGGACACAAAATTCCAATTTCAGGTTTTGTTCCAAGTTAAAAAAAACATAGGTGTCACTGAGTAACAATCTATAAACTCTTTGTATTAATCATACTGCCACATACTTGTAAAGTAGGTTATGTTTTTTGCCCCTAGTCTATTCTTCTAGGCAATAGCTTGTGTCACAGAAAAAGCACAAGTGAATACTTAGTATATTTGAATTATTTTTAATAATTCAGATCTGCATAATCTGTTCACATAACTTAATAATTTACCTCATAGGAAAATTATTTTCCAACATACAATACATGCATGTTTATGTTGTACTTAGCTTTTTCATGATGAAAAATAGTGGTGTGTGATATCCTTTAGGGAAGAGACTGATTTTTACTTTTGTTGTTATACCCCAGCATCTAGGATAGTGCCTGACACATTATTGGTACTTAATAAATGCTTACTGTTTGATAAAAATTTATTTTTTGCAAAGTTAATCATCTTTTTGATTGAATTGTTTATTTTTCTCAATCCTTCATTTCCTGAAACCATTTCATTTATTGATATTACAATGTCTAGTTTTGCATTCCTTCTAAGATAGAATGTTAATATGGAACAGTTTTTTATTCCTTAGGCATTATATGAATAAACATCTATTTAGACAAAAGAAAATTTAGTACACAACACTTTTCATCAATGACTGTGTAATTATATTAGTTTCTTTGCATCATTTCACCTGAGATTAAATGCTTTTATCTCTCTTCAATAAAAGAAACAAATGGAATTTATGAGAACACATTCAAAAGAAATGAATAAGAATAAATTAATTCCAAATACAGTATGCAAAAGACACTTTAAAGAGTGATTACTATTATTGTATATTCTATGAATGATTGATTTTCATGATATATTCATAAAAAACTGAAAAAATCCCCATCAGCCTCTAATAATTACTTAAAAACTATATGCTTTGCAAAAGCAAATTACTTTTTGAAATGCACATTAATGGAGCTAAGTGTTCAAAATGTCTGAATTATTGCCTGCTTGATAAATTGTACTATTAGATTTTGCAGAAATACATTTCAAATTATATTTGTTAGAGGTTAAATGATGACAGAGAATCAAATCTGGCCAATTTAAAATTTAAATTTAAAATGCTATCATAATAAAATACTATCATAAACCAATAAAATGCTATCATAAACCAATAAAATTTAGCTCATCAAACTCAGAGACTAGCATCTGTAAAGAAAGTAAATTGACTGATTTGTAATCAAAGGCTTTTTTTTAAGTCAAAGAAAGAAGTTTGATATGACAGAGTGGTTAATCTTAATGGAACATTCCTGATGAAATGTATTTAGCTCTTTAAATTTTACAAAGACATTTTTGTAATTATTGTATTCAACTCTCATAATTGCCCAGTGTGGTGGGTTGGTATTTTTATCCCCATTTTACACATGAAACTGAGGTTGAGAGGGTAAGTGACAGTAAGTGTCAGGATTTGATTTCGATTTTCTTGTCTCCATTTCTACTGCTTAAAAACAAACAAAAAGAACTACACCATTGTATCACTCTAAATTAAGCTCATATCCAGCACTAGTGAGGTTCCTACATGTAGACCCTTGCTCACATGCAACATTCTAATTATTAGATGGTAATAGTTACTATTTATATAGTATTTTAAAATTTGCAAAATGGTTTACAAATATGTCATTTAATCCTCAAAACCACCCTGTAAGATGGGTATTATTATTATCACTTTTATACAAATAAGGAAGTATAGGCTAAGAGACTAAGTTGCTTGTCCAAAGGTCACACAGCTAGTAATTGTCTAAGATAAGCTTTGAACTCAGGTCTTCCTGACTCCATGTCTAGTACTTTACTCACTGGACCACCTAAGTGCCTGTACCTGGATTACCATTTGCTCATTTTGGACATATGCTTTTTCTTTTTGAAAAGGCTAAACATGATTTTCTCAGCATAGGAAATTCCCAAGGAGCAAATCCCCTCTAGCAGTGCAAATCACCACCTAATCTGCCATTTAGAGTCTTAGAGAGTTGCCTTGCAGCTCTGAGATGTTAAGTGATTTATGCAGGGTTGCATAGCTAGTAGGTGACGGAACTGAAACTGGAGCCCAGGTCTTCCTGTCTCCTAGATGACTCTCTATCCTCTACACCAGCTGCCTTTTACACATTTATCATTAACACATTAATAAACACATTTCTAGCCCTGAACACCTGGATAAGGTAATATATAGACACAAGCTAGAATAAATTGTCTATCAAGTGCTTAAGGTACACAAAACTTAAATGAACTCATCATAGCATTGGATTCAAATGAAATTGCTTCTGCAACAAGTTCCAATCAGTTTTTAAGAAAGTTCCAAAGACGTAACCCATTAAGCATCAGTATTTTTCTGCTTTGAAAGCATTTTACTACCTGTAATAACTGTACAGGCTATTCTATTTAAATGTGGCCAGTTTAGATGTAGTTATTTTCCCCTAAGTCATTTGGCTGCAAAATTATCTCGTTTGGATATTTCATTTTGTATTTCTGCAAGTTCTCATTTCATTTTTTCCTTTTCTCTTTCTTTATTAGTTTACTACCTTGAAAGACAAAAAAATGGGGGTGATTGTTTTTAGA